ATGGGGAGCAGGAAAAGACATCCCGGGACAGAGAGCAGCAGGGCTGTTACCAATACGGGCCCTGGGATGGCCACGTGCTGGTGTCCCGCATTGAACTGCGTAGGCGTGTCTGCCCAATGGGAGATGACAGTGTGACCTTTACGGCTAAACAGAAGTCCTTGGGGCTTCCACATTAGCTCTGTCTGGGATGACTGGCTCGGCCCTCTGGAGAAGCCGAAGTGGTTTGGGACAGAGGGTGCCTGGCCACAGCCAGCACTGACACTCGCATGGAACTATACTCTATCCCGCATCATAACTGTGCCTTTTCCTGCCACAATCAAGTTTTCAGGAGGTTACAGGCTGAGTTCACATTTAGACTGCAGCCCTGTGGGGGACACTGGGCCAGAACAAGTCCCATACACTCACTCACTCTTCCGTATCTGATCCAGAGGAGAAATTTCTGGTCAGAAGTTATTTTAAGAAATTTATTTACTCTTGGGCCTGGCGCGATAGCCTAGCAGTTAAGGTCTTTTCCTTGCATGTACCACGATCCCATATGGGTGCTGGTTCTAATCCCGGCAGCCCCGTTTCCCATCCAACTCCCTGCTCGTGGCCTGGGAAAGCAGTCGAGGACAGCCCAAAGCCTTGGGACCCTGCACCCATGTGCAATACCCAGAAAAGTTCCTGGCTCCTTCCTGGCTTTGGATTGGCTCAGCTCTGGCTGTTGCAGCTGCTTGGGGAGTAACCAGTGGATTAAAGATCTTCCTCTCTGTCTATCCTCCTCTCTGTACATCTGCCTTTCCAATAAAAAATAATCGCAGATCTCCCGTGCACTAATTCGCTCCCCAAGTGGCTGCACAATGGCTGGAGCTGAGCTGATCTGAAGCCAGGAGTTAGGAGCTTCTCTTGGATTCCCAAGTGGGTCCCAAGGCTTTGAGCTATCCTCTTCTACTTTCCCAGGCCACAAGCAGGGAGCTGGATGAGAAGTGGAGCAGCCAGGACATGAACCGGGGTCCACATGGCATCCTGATACTTGAAGGGAGAAGATTAACCAATGAAACTATTCAACTGGGTCCAAAGATTTATTTATTTTTGATCAAAAAGCTGAGTTGCAGAAAGAGAAGCAGAGAGAGAGAGAGAGAGAGAGAAATCTCCCATTTGCTGACTCACTCTGCAAATGGCCACAATAACTAGAGCTGGGTTTGTCTGAACCTAGAAGGCAGGACCTTCCTCTGGGTCATCCACGTCGGGGTGTAGGGGCTCAAGGACTTGGGCCATCCTCTGCTGCCATCCCAGGACACAAGAAGGGAGTTGCAAAGAAGTGGAGCACCAGGACTTGAGCCAATGCCCATAAGCAATGTCAGTACTGCAGATGGAGTAAAAACTGCTAAGCTATGGGCCCAGCATGGTAACCTAGCGGGATCGTACATGGGTGTCAGTTCATAGCCTGGCTGCTCCACTTCTTATCCAGCTTTCTGCTTGTGTGCTGGGAAAACAGTAGAGGATGACCCAAGCGTTAGGACCCTGCACCTGTGTGGATGACCCAGAAAAAGCTCCTGGCTTTGGATTACCTCAGCTCTGGCTGTTGAGGCTGCTTGGGGAGTAACTCAATGGATGGAAGATCTTCCTCTGCATCGGTCCTCCTGTCTGAATATCTGCCTTTCCAATAAAAATAAATAAATCTTGAAAAAAAAAAAAACCTGCCAAGCCAGGTTGTTGGCCCCTGCAAAAAAAAAAAAATTTTTTTTTTTTTTAGATTTATATATTTTTATTGCCAGGTCAGATATACAGAGAGGTTGAGAGACAAACAGGAAGATCTTCCATCTGATGATTCACTCTCCAAGTGAGTGCAGCAGCTGGTGCTGCACCAATCTGAAGCCAGGAGCCAGGGGCTTCCTCCAAGTCTTCCACACAGGTGCAGGGTCCCAAAGCTTTTGGGCCATCTTTCACTGCTTTCTCAGGCCACAAGCAGGGAGCTGGATAGGAAGTGGAGCTGCTGGGATTAGAACCAGCACCCATATGGGATCCTGGCACATTCAAGGTGAGGACTTTAGCCACAAGGTCACTGTGCTGGGCCCTGTTTTATAAATTAAAAGGTATTCTGGGGCCCAGCATGATAGACTAGTGGCAAAATCCTTGCCTTGCTTGCAGTGGGATCATATATGGGTGCCAGTTCATAGCCCGGCTGCTCCACTTCCCTTGCAGCTCCCTGGCTGTGGCCTGGGGGTGCAGTGAAGGATGGCCCAAAGCCTGTGCCCAGGTCGAAGAAGACCCAGAAGAAGCTCCTAGTTCATGGCTTTGGATCACCTCAGTTTCAGCGGTTGTGGCCAGTTGGGGAGTGAGTCAGAAGATGGAAGATCTTTCTTTCTGTCTCTCCTCTCTCTGGAAATACGCTTTCCAATAACAATAAAAAAATCTTTTTTTAAAAGCTGTTGAAATAATATACTCAAAAAAGAAAAAAATACGACTTTGGGATGAAGGCATTTATTTATTTTGATTAAAAGGCAGAGAAACAGACGAGATCTTCCATCCCCTGGTTTGTTCCCTAAATGCGGATCAGACACAGAGCAAATCAGCCACGAAGTCAATACAGACTTCCCTAATGGATGGCAGACACCGACTGAAAAGATCACCTCTTTCCACCCTGGGTGTGCAGCAGCAGGAAGCAGAGCTGGGACTCGAACCAAGGCACTTGGCTCATGGGATACAGGGGTCCCAAATGATATGTTAACCACTGTGCCAAACGCCTGCCCAGGTGATAAGGGCTCTCCACTCCAGAGTTCTATGATAATATTCCAACCAGAGGTCAGGTGATAAAGAGAGTGACCATCTCTCGCAACGTTTCATCCATTTCATCTTTCTGCCCTACCTGGATGGAGGGAGGTGGGGGAACCCTTGTGGAACATGTAAACAGGTAGAGGTTACAGCTCTGTGCTGCCTCAGGACAAGTGTGATGCAACCAAAGACTTGCCAGGAGCTCTCACTCTAGACCAGCAGCAGGACGCTTCCTGCTCCAGGGCCCAAGTCTTCTGGCTTGAGTGCTAAATGCCCTTTTCCACATGGTCAGCAAACTGTTATGCGGCCTTACTTGGCATGGCATTATTCAACAATAGGTTACCCAGGCAACCTGTTCATTCTTAGGCAAGGACTGCTTCTGACGGAGAAGCTGCTGGCTCCTGACTTTGAATTGCCTCGCCCCCAGCTATCGAGATCACTTGGGGAGTGAATCAGCAGATGAAAGATCTTTCCTTCTTCTTCTTCTTCTTTTTTTTTTTTTGAAACATTTATTTTTATTGGAAAGGTGGATTTATAGAGAGAAGGAGAGACAGAGAGAAACATCTTCTTCTGTCTACTGTTTCACTTCCCAAGTGGATGCAATGGCCAGAGCTGAGCCAATCCGAAGCCAGGAGCTTCTTCTAGGTCTCCCACATGGGTATAAGGTCCCAAGGCTTTGGGCCATACTCTACTGCCTTCCCAAGCCACAAGCAGGGAGCTGGATGGGAAGTGGAGCTGCCAGGACCAGAACTGGCCCCCATATGGGATACCAGTGCATGCAATGCAAGGATTTTACCACTAGGCTATCACATTGGGACCGGAAGATCTTTCTGACTCTCTTTCTCAGTAAATCTGCCTTTCCAATAAGATACATAAATATTTTTTCAAAGATACATCCTCTTTTTAATAATTATTTTTATTTATTGTAAAGTCAGAGTTATGGGCAGAGGCAGAAATCTTCCATCCATTTGATTCACTGACTAGAAAGGCCCAGGGCTGGACCAGGCCAAAGCCAGGAGCCTGGAATTCTGTCCAGGTCTCCCACGTGGGAGGCAGGATCCGAGTGCTTGGGACACTTTGCTGCGCCTTCCCAGGCAGCATCGGCAGGGAGCTGGACTGGAAGCTGGGCAGCCAGGGCTAGAGGTAGAGTTTATCTGCGATGACATTTTGGCAGGCGGTTACTTAACTTGCAAAGCTGGCCTCTCCTTCTCCAGGTCTACGTCACAGGAGGCCTGAGCGCTTTCTTCTGCCAGCCCCTGGTGCCTCATGAGCTCAGAGCCTAGCCAGGTAGACTCAACATTTGCTAAAGGACTTAGGAAATGAAAGCCAGCCCACCATCCCAAGTGTATCATGAAAGAAAAGAATCACATTGATCAGTGGGTGGACATTTTTTTTTTATTGGAAAGGCGGAAACACAGAGAGGAGGAGAGACAGAGAGGAAGATCTTCCCCCCAAGTGAGCGCAACGGCTGGAGCTGAGCCAATACCCAGCCTCCCTGGTCTCCCACGCGGGTGCAGGGTCCCAAAGCTTTGGGCTGTCCTCGACTGCTTTCCCAGGCCACAAGCAGGGAGCTGGATGGGAAGTGGAGCTGCCGGGATTAGAACCAGCGCCCATATGGGATCCTGGCACGTGCAAGGTGAGGACTTTAACCACTACGCTATTGCGCTGGGCCCTGGGTGGCCAAAAGGGTTCCCTCCCCCTAGTTCCCTCCCCCCAGTCTGCAGGCTTGCCTGTTTGCTTAGAGCTGTGATCTCAGGGTTGGATGCTAGTCAGGGAGCTGGCCAATGGAGAGAAAAACCTGAGGCCAGAGCCTCGCCCACCTGTCAGGAAGTTTGTTCCTTGCACAGTGTGACAAACGGTCCTGTGAAAGCCACAACAAGCATACACAACGTTAGAGCATCTCGGGGGCTCATCGTCAAAACCCTGATGAAGAACCCTTGGTATCCGAATTCCAGCGCTCCCATTCTGCCAGGGTGGACACTGAGGCCCACAGTGGGCACGAAGCTTGCTCAAGGTCACTCTACGAGCTGGGAGCAGAAGAACCGCACGGTGGCCAGGGCTAGACAGAAGCCCGTTTCCACTATTTGCCAAATAGCGGGTTCTGACCAAGGGACAACGCCCACCTGGCTGTTTTCAGTTGGTGAGGGAGGAGGAGGAGGAAGAGGAGGAGGAGGAGGAAGGCGGACGGAGGGCGTGGCTTGCCCAGGCCCCGCCTCCGCCGCCGTGCTCAGGGGCGGGGCCTTCGTCCAACCTGCGCCGCTCCAACATGGCTCCGAGGCTGTGCAGCATCTCTGCGGCGGCGCGGCAGGTGCTGGGGGCCCCTGGACCTCGCCCCCGCAAGGTGCCGGCGGTGACCCCGGCGCGGTGAGAGGCGAGCGCGGCGGAGGCGCCCACGCCATGCGTGGTTGTAGGGTCCGGGGCGGCGAAGAAGGGGAGTCCTGGGGAGGCGGGGGTCTTAGGCTGGGGGGAGGGGCTGAGGTTTCTGATCTTGGAATTGAGGGGTTTGGAGGAGAGGCCAGGATCGAGGCTGGTGCAGGGGTCTGGGAAAGAAGAGAGGCGGTGAGAAGGGGGTGGGGGTGGGTGGGCAGGGTGCGGTGTATCTGGCTGGTGGCAACTAGAGAAAGGAAGATGGGGTTACACCGGAGGGGCAGATCCGGCCCTTGGAGAAGGGGTTAGAGGGCAGCGGACAGGCGTAAGGGCCCCTTCCCCAGGCCTGCTAGGTGAAACAGCTCCTCCCTCAGGAAGTTCTAGGCTGGTAGCGAGGGATCCCCAGGGAACCAGGGCCCCTACAAACCCCTTTGCTCTCCCACAGTTCAGCTGTACAAGTGGGGCAGAGGCCTGGGGCGCTTGGCACTTTTCTAAGGTCACAGCCTCCCACGGCTGTTGTGGCAGCAGTGGCACTGGCACCCAGTTCTTCCCCACCGTGCACTTTGCACCACAACGGGTGGCCTTCTGGGAGGGCCAGGCTGCCCCGGGCCATGTGCTGGGCCTGGTCTTTTGTTTGGGCCCTGCCTCGGGCTGCAGCAGAACTTGGCCTGCGGTTGGCCTGGCAGCCCCAGTTGGCCCCTCCTGTTCCCTCTGCTCTGGTTGCCCTTTCCTTCCCCCATCTTTGCACTTACGGCCTTGTACACCTGTGACCTAGGAGCTTGCCTGTTTGTCCCAATAGACTTATTGTCTCATGTTCCTGATTCCCTAGCCGGCCACCCCTACAGAGCTCAGCCAAGAATATGTGCCCCAGAAGTGAGGCACTTGTCTCCTCCTTCCAGCAGCCCAGGAATGACTGTGCCATGAGGTGTCGGAGCGCTGGGCGATGGGGGTTCTCGGGGTTGGACACGTGCCTTACGCCCCACCTGGATTGCCCAGAAAGTAGGGGAGAAAGTTGTCATCATGAAAAGAGCCTGGAGTTTTCCTGGCCCCAGCAAATCTAACTCAGCCTGTGTTAGTGGAATGACCTTGGAAAATCAGTTGACCTTTTGAAACCTCAGGTGCTTCCTGTGTAAATATATGTGAGAAAACAGTACCTTTCTCATAGAATTGTGGATAATTAACAAACTCAACTGTCTGGCACCTGGGGAACATTGAGCATTGGTGTTTGACTAGTTCTAAAGATTTATTTTATTTTTATTGGAAGGTTAGATACACAGAGAGGAGGAGAGACAGAGAGGAAGATCTTCTGAACGATAATTCACCCTTCAAGTGACCACAATGGCTGGTGCTGCGCCAATCTGAAGCCAGGAGCCAGCAATCTCCTCCAGGTCTCCCACGCAGGTGCAGGGTCCCAAGGCTTTGGGCCATCCTCAGCTGCTTTCCCAGGCCACAAGCAGGGAGCTGGCTGGGAAGGGAAGTGGAATATCCGGGATATGAAACTGGCACTTATATAGGATGCTAGAGCTTGTAGGTGGAAGATTAGCCCATAGAGCCACAGTTTTGGCCCCATGTCCTGTCTGTAAAAAAAATTATACACACTCACACACACATATTTTCTTTTCTTTTTTTTTAAAAGATTTATTTTATTTTTATTGGAAAGGTGGATATACAGAGAGGAGAGACAGAGAGGAAGATCTTCCGTCCGATGATTCACTCCCCAAGTGAGCGCAACGGCCGATGCTATGCTGATCCGAAGCCAGGAGCCTTTTCCGGGTCTCCCACATGGGTGCAGGGTCCCAAAGCTTTGGGCCGTCCTTGACTGCTTTCCTAGGCCACAAGCGGGGAGCTGGATGGGAAGAGGTGCCACCAGGATTAGAACCGTGCCCATATGGGATCCCAGGGGTGCAAGGTGAGGACCTTAACCACTGTGCCACCGCACCAGGCCCACACACACATATTTTCAAGGTTTATTTATTTAAAAGTCAGAGATTTTCTGTCTGCTATTTTATTCCCCAAATGCTCAAAGCAGGACAGAGCTGGGCCCGGCACAGTGGCCTAAGGGCTAAAGTCCTCGCCTTGAATGTGCCGGGATCCCATATGGGTGCCGGTTCTAATCCTGGTGGCCCCACTTCCCATCCAGCTCCCTGTTTGTGGCTTGGGAAAGCAGTCAAAGACAGTCCAAAGTTTCAGGTTCTTGCACCCACATGGGAGACCTGGAAGAGCTTTTGGCTTCAGATTGGTGCAGCACTGGCCGTTGCGGTCACTTGGGAAGTGAACCATCGGGCGGAAGATCTTCCTCTCTTTATATTTGACTTTTATATTTGACTGCTATGCTATAGTGCTTGTCCCCTAGGCTTAAGCACTAACCAGGTACTGTCCCCATAACTTCAGAGCCTGCTGCTTCCAACACACTTGGTAGACCTGCGTGAGTCACTGGGCCTCTGGGAGCCTCAGCGTCCCCCTCTGTGAAATGAGACTAGCCACCCGCTGCCTGGCATTTTTCCACACACGATGGTGTAAAGAGACGTGGATAAATGTCTCAGGTCCTCAGAATTGATTTCAGTCCCCCATGGCCAGGTCCACACTGGATCCATGAGCACACCCTCTTTTGCTGCACTTTGGGCCTGCTTTGGTTTGCCCCTGGGGCACCAGCAGCAGCCTGTCTGGTCTCTGAAACTCATGGGACAGGGACAGAGCCTGGGCTTTTGAAATCAGTTGCACACCTGGGTGGGAATCCTCTTGGCCGCTGAGTAATCAGCCTTGAAAAAGGCAGGGAATGTCTTTGAAGTTCATTGTTTTTTTCTTTAAGATTTATTTATTTTGGGGCCTGGTGTGGTGGCCTGGCAGCTAAAGTCCTCGCCTGTATGCCCCATGATCCCATATGGGCAAGGGTTCTAATCCTGGAAGCCCCGCTTTCCATCCAGCTCCCTGCTTGTGGCCTGGGAAAGCAGTCTGAGACATACCAAACCTTGGGAGCCTGCACCTGCTTGGGATACCCAGAAGACCCTCCTGGCTTTGGATTGACGCAGCTGTGGCTTTTGTGGTCACTTGGGGAATGAATCATTAGACGGAAGACCTTCCTCTCTGTCTCTCCTCGTCTTTGTATATCTGACTTTATATCTTAATAAGATTTATTTATTTTTACTTGAAGGGCAGGGTTATATATAGAGAAGGAGAGATAAGAGATCACCCATCCACTGGGATTATTCCCCAAATGGCCACAATAGCCAGAGCTGGGCTGGTCCAGAGCCAGGAGCCAGAAGCTTCTTCTAAGTGTCCTATGTGGGTGCAGGGTCATTCTCTGCTGCTTTCCCAGGTACAGTAGCAGGGAGCTGAATTGGAAGTGGGACAGCTAGGACATGAATCGGCACCCGTATGGTAAGATGCTGGCACTACAGGCTCAGGGTTACCTTGCTGTGCCTTGCACTGGACCCAAGCTTCGTTGTCCTTAAATGTGTGTCATGGGGATTAACCCATGTTGGAAGTCAACTGTTGTCAGCAACAACAGTTGTTATTAGTGTCACACCACTAGTCCTCTTGTTAATAGAACTTTAGTTCTTCTAGGGATCAGAAGTAAAATGAGAGCACCTTCCAAAAGTCCACCGATCCAAATAAGAAGAGTGTTTGAAATGTGCAGGGAGCCCGGTTTCCTGACAGCTAGGAGTCAAGATTCCCAGCGTTCCATCTTTCATGTTCTGGAGCAGTTTCATTTGGGGAGTCATCTGAGTGTTGTTCCCTCTCAGCAGTGCAAAAGATTTCATGTGCAGTAACTTCTGGAGAGAGATTGGAAGGTTCTCATTAGGGAAAATGCATGAAGTTCAAAGACAGAGCTCCCATCTGCTGGTTCAGCCCCTACATCCTTCCGAATGCTTTCAGTGGCTGGGACCGAGCCAGGGCCAAAGCCAGGAGCCAGGAACTCAGTGCAGGACTCGCACATGGGCAGCAGGAACCGAGTTATTTATCCACAGCTGCTGCCTCTGGGCTGTGCATTAGCGGGAAGCTGCAGTCACATGTCAAAGGTGGGTCCAGAACTCAGAAGTGGGACACAAATCATAACCACTGGCCCAAACACCTGCCCTTGGGACAAATATTTGTTAAGCTCTGGCTTACCTGTTATTACACAATGCAAGTCTCCAGAAGCATTCTCTTTTGTTAAGATTTATTTATTTTTATTGGAAAGGCAGATATGCAGAGAGAAGCTGATACAGAAAGATTTTCCATCTGCTGGTTCACTCCCTAAGCGGCTGCAATGGCCAGAGCTGATCTGATCTGAAGCCAGAAACCAGGAGCCAGGAGCTTCTGTGTCTCCCATGCAGGTGCAGGGTCCCAAGGCTCTGGGCTCTCCTCAACTGCTTTCCCAGGGCACAGGCAGGGAGCTGGATTTATTTAGATTTATTTATTTTATTGAAAAGGCAGATTTATAGAGAGAAGGAGAGACAGATCTTCCATCCATTGTTTCACTGCCCAAGTAGCCCCTGTGGCTGCTGCTGAGCTGACACAAAGCAAAAGCTAGGAGCCAGGAGTTTCTTCTGGGTCTCCACGCAGGTACAGGGCCCCAAGGCTTTGGGGTGTCCTCTGCTGCTTTCCCAGGCCACAAGCAGGGAGCTGGATGGGAAATGGAGCAGCTGGGATTAGAACCAGTGTCCATATGTGATCCTGGTGGATGCAAGACGATGACTTTAGCCACTAGGCTATCGTGCTGGGCCCCCTTAATTTACTTTGAATACCAATATATTTGGTACCTCTGAGACAATGTACTGAAATTACATGGGGGAAAAAAAAGTTGAAATTGGAACTGCTGTGGCACAGTCGTCCTCAGAGTTGAGCATCAGCAGAGTCCCCTGGTGACTTTGTGGAAGCCTCCATTGCCTGACCCACTCCCACAGTTTCCGCTGCAGATGCTCGGGATGGGGCCTGTGGCGTCCAGCAGGTCTCCAGGCCAAGTTGATGCTCTTACTCTGAGAGCCCCCGGGGGGGGGGGGGCGCGGGGGCGGGTGTGGGGAGGGATCCTGATTCCTTATTTGTTACTAAGGATTTATCTATTTCTTTGAAAGCATTTTGTTGGACCCAGCACTGTGGCCTAGAGGCTAAAGTCCTCACCTTGAGGAAGTCAGGGAGGAATAGAGGTAGATATTATCTGCACAGCTGCGTCTCTCCTTTGCCTCCAAGGTCCATCCTGTTGCCCCTGTTTGACCAATGAGGACAGTGAGATCAGAAGATTGAATTCCAGTTGGGTTTGTCCAGAGCCTGCTCATAAGCATTAATTGTGTTGCTGTTCTCGTGGGGGATGGGAGGGGCTCCCCGAGCCCTCTCTCCCTGCTTGGGGCTGCAGTTTGCCCTTTCTTGCCCTTCTCATCCTCCAGCTTTGGAGCACTCGGTTCTGTGCTAGCTACGCCGTATTCATTTTGGATCTCCCACATGGGTGACAGGGCCCAGGCACTTGGGCCATCTTCTGATGCTTTCCCAGGTGCACCAGCAGGGTGCTGGGTTGAAAGAGTGGCACCATAAGGAATGCCAGCATTGCAGGTGCCACTGTATGTAATGCCAGCCATCCCCCCGACTTATGACCCCTTAACTGCTGCACCCATTGCCTGCCCCTGAACTCTTGAATTTACTTGATTGCAGTTGCTGGCTTGTGTTTCAGACCCTGCCTTGGGATCTTAGAGAGCCCTTCTTGGATTTCACTTGTAGGAAAGAATTTTAGAGAGGGGCTGCTTTGTCCTGCTCACGTGGTGGGTTGGGAAACAAGTCAATCGCAGGACGACTTCAACAGCAGTGGAAAGAAATGGAAAATCCAATCTCCTCAGGCTTACCCTCTCCACTGCCCTGGCTTTCCACCAGGCTGGCTTCTGGGCAGATCCTGGTCGGCACCGACGTTAATAAATGACCCGCGGCTTTACTCTGGAGCAAAGGTCTTAGTTGACAAATACTAGGAGCCACTCTTCTCCCTGGTGTCACCAGGTGAGGCAGCTCCTGTCCAGTCAAACCAAAGGTCGGGGACACCAGTGCCTAGCCTGGGAAAGGGGGTTGGCTTTCAAGGAAGGAGCTCCGAATTGGTTGGTTGTTGTATTAGCACTGTTGTCTGATTGGCTGTGTGACCTCCCCTGTTTTATGTTGGAAAGTGCGGGCACTATAACTGTGAGATTATTGTGCAGTTCCAGTGGAATTGTTCAAGCAGGAGTTTAAAAACACAGGTCTCTGGCTCCTTGGAGGGATTCCTTTCTTGTTCATAAATTTCACAGATCACAGTATCCTTCTGTTCATAAGCATGAGAATTGGCCCTTTGCTAATGAAACAAATACCTATACAATAACTTAAAAGAGCCTTTGGTTTCAGAAATGCTTCAGTAAGGAACCAAGAAAAAGTTCACACCATCTCAGGTCCAGCGTGATAGCCTAGTGGCTAAAGTCCTCACCTTGCATATGCTGAGATCTCATATGGGTACCGTTTCGTGTCCCAGCTGCTTCACTTTCCCATCCAGCTCCCTGCTTGTGGCCTGGAAAAGCAGTTGAGGATGGCCCAAAATCTTGGGACCCTGCACCCGTGTGGGAGACCCGGAAGAAGCTCCTGGCTCCTGGCTTCGGATTGGCTCAACTTTGGCCCTTGCAGCCACTTGGGGAGTGAATCAGTGGACAGAAGATCTTCTCTGTCTCTCCTCCTCTGTTTATCTGACTTTCCAATAAAAAAAGTCTGTTAAAAATAATAATAAAATGGGCCAGGCGCAGTGGCGCAAGTGGTTAAAGGTCCTCGCCTTGCACGCCCGGGATCCCATATGGGCGCCGGTTCTAATCCCAGCAGCCCCGCTTCCCTTCCAGCTCCCCGCCTGTGGCCTGGGAAAGCAGTCGAGGACGGCCCAAAGCTTTGGGAACCTGCACCCTGTGGGAGACCCAGAAGAGGCTCCTGGCTTCGGATCGGCATAGTATCGGCCCGTTGCGCTCACTTGGGGAGTGAATCATCGGATGGAAGATCTTCCTCTCTGTATCTCCTCTCTGTATATCCGCCTTTCCAATGAAAAAATAATAAAAATAAATCTTTAAAAAATAATAATAATAATAATAACATATTAAAAAATGTTTATTTGAAAACCAAAACTGGAAAGAGAGAGAGTTATCTCCTGATAACTTCAATCTGGGGCTAGGCCAAGTCTAAGCAAGGGTCTAGGGGCATCTTCCAGGTCTCCCACGTGGGAGCAGAGGCCCAAACTCTGAGGTCATCATCCACTGCCTTCCCAGGCACAATAGCAGGGAGCTGTGTTGGGAGCAGAGCAGCCAGGACTCGAATTTGTACTCTGATGTGGGATGCCATTGTCCCAATTGACAACTTAATCCACTGTGCCACAAGGCAAACCTCGGCCTCCGGCTTCCTTAAAGACAAAGCTTGTTTGTTCTTGACCCTCCATGTATGGAGTTTGTTAGGGGGCTGACTTGCTTGGCTTCCTGAGGCCCTACAAAGATTCAAGAGGCACATTGGGTCCTTGCTATATAAGGGGGGGTCACATTTGCCTGGCTAGCTCTAGGGGTATCTCGGATTTGAGCTGCTAGATGATTCTGGGGCCTAGTTCCCAGAAAGATGGGGCTGCAGGGTGTCTGAGCAGAATGAGTCACGGGGGCTCCCACTGCCCACCTCCCTCAACGCGTCTGTCCTACAGTTTCTATTCCAAGGATGCTGAAGGCAGCTGGTTCCGCTCCCTCTTTGTTCACAAGGTGGATCCCCGGAAGGATGCCCACTCTACCCTGCTCTCCAAGAAAGAGACCAGTAACCTGTACAAGATCCAGTGTGAGTAGCTCCTGAGCTGCTCCAGCCCCAGCCTCTGGGACTTGCTGGGGAAGGGGGGGGGGGGTGTGGCAGCAGGGCAACCTTGGTGGCTCCAGCATGGAGAAGAATGGGGCTGGATTTTGCTGGGCAGTGCAGTCCTGTAAGCTCTGGCCTTAATGGACCCCCAGTTGTCCCCCCTACACTTCCAGCTGCACGCACACCTGCCCTGCCTCATCTTGTGCTATCTGTCTGTCTCTGCAGTTCACAATGTGAAGCCTGAGTGTCTGGATGCCTACAACAGTCTGACGTGAGCATCGGCCTCCACCTGCCCCACACCCTCGACCCTGCTGTCCCAGGGCCAGGCCCCCTCTTGGGTTGGGGTTGGTGCATCCCGGCACATCTTGGGTTGGAGTGCTGAGCTGGACCCCTCCTGTGGGGGTCGGTGTGAGCCCTACCCCTTTTCTGTACCCCTCTCTCAGGGAAGCTGTGCTGCCCAAGCTACACCTGGATGAGGATTACCCCTGCTCACTCGTGGGCAACTGGAACACGTGGTATGGGGAGCAGGACCAGGCAGGTGAGACCCACCCCCTGATTCCCCATAACTGCAGCCCATCCAGCGTTCCACACGTCACACTGTCCTCCATGGCAGCACCTGGGAGGGGGGCTCTCCCTACATGAACACCTCGTCTCTTCACCCCACTACCCACCGTGGCTCCCTCTGTCCTCAGTCCTGTCTCGCTGTAGTCTCCAGCCTCATCTTGCCACATTTGCCTTGTCTACTACTTTCCCACCCAAGGCTTCCTTCAGTTCCCCAGTGGACTCTTGGGCTCTCTCTTGCAAGTCATATATTTTCTTTTTCCTCCCTTGCCTACTTTTTTTTTAAAACATTTATTTATTTGTATTGCAAAGTCAGATATACAGAGAGGAGGAGAGACAGATATACAGAGAGGAAGATCTTCTGTCTGATGATTCACTCCCCAAAGCCAGGATCCTGGAGCTTCTTTTGGGTCTCCCACACAGGTGCAAGGTCCCAAGGCTTTGGGCCGTCCTTGACTGCTTTCCCAGGCCACAAGCAGGGAGCTGGATGGGAAGTGGGGTTGCCGGGGATTAGAACTGGTGCTCATATGGGATCCAGGCACGTTCAAGGCGAGGACCTTAACCGCTATGCTCTTGTGCTGGGCCCTCCGTTGCCTACTTTACCTGGCTCTTTTGTGAAGTCTTTTGTTTTACATGGATCTCGGAGACCTCCCCAGGTTTCCTCTGCTTAAGCTGACTCAGACACCTCCCCTAGCTCTATAGCCCCTGAGTCCGTGGCCTCTTTACTACCCCTGATTTTTCCTTTCTGTAGCTCTCTGGCCACTCTCTGTGTAAGTGGCGAGTTCTGGGACCACTGAATTCCCAGAGTGAAGCACATGCATGTGGAATAAGCTGGCTGCCTATAGCTCTCCAGGAGCACCCCCAGAATGTTCCTTCCAACTCCTGCATAACCCCCCAAAGTTGGTACCTGTGCTAGGATCCTTACACAAATTAGCCCCTTTCAGGGGTCCTTGGCATTTAGACATGCACTATCTAAAGTAGCCACTAACCACATGTAGATATTTAAATTTACATTGAGAGGTTTGGGCATTTGGTCTAGTGGTTAAGCTGCCCCTTGGGGCACCTGTATCCTGTATTGGAATGCCTAGGTTTGTTTTTGCTTTTCAAGATTTGTTTGTTTATTTGAAAAGTAGAGTTACCGGTAAAAGAAGAAACAAAGAGAGAGAGAGATTCAGAGAGATATCAAGATTGTCCATCCAGTGGCTCACTTCCCAAACATCCACAATGGCCAAAGCTGGACTAGGCCAAAGTCAGGAGCCTGAAACTCTGTCTGGGTCTTCCACGTGGGTGGCAGAGGCTCACGTACTCAGGCCCTCCTCCACTGCTTTCTCAGGTGTGCTGGACTGGAAGCAGAGTGGCACCTGGCTTTGAGTCCTGGTTCTGTTTTAAGTGTTAACTTCCTGCTCTTGTACACTTTGAGGGCAGCTGGTGATAGCTCCAATAGTTGGGTCCTTGTCACACAGGGAATCTTGTTTCGAAGTGAGGTCACCTACTCGGGTTCTGGGTGAGCATGCATTTTGAAGGGATGCTGTGGATCCCTCAAATAGAACTCTATTCTAGTGAACAGAAAATATGGGTTTTAAAAGTCTAACTATGGAGATAAGTAAGCATCTCTCTCACCTGAAGTTCCCCGGGCCCCAGTTCTCTGCCATAGGGTCATCTGTCACAGTACCTTGGACCTCCTCCTGGAGACAAGGTGCAGGTTGACATTTTGGGAAATGTTCTCCTGTTTCCTAAGGTTACATGGTGGCATACCTGAGCTGCTCTTTTGTCCTTTGGTACTTTTGTTTTCTTTCTTTTTTTAAGATGTATTTATTTTTGTTGGAAAGTTAGGTATACAGAGAGGAGAAGAGGCAGAGAAGAAGATCTTCCATCTCATGATTCACTTCCCAAGCAGCCGCAACGGCTGGAGCTGAGCTGATCCAAACTCAGAAGCCAGGAGCCTTTTCTGGGTCTCCCATGTGGATGCAGGGTCCCAAGGCCTTGGCCTGTCCTCGACTGCTTTACCATGCCATAGGCAGGAAGCTGGATGGCAGGGACACTGGGATACAAACAGCTGCCCACATGGGTTCCCGGTGTGTGAAAGGCAAAGACTTTAACTGCTAGGCCTGGTTCTTTTGTTTTCAATTCACTGTCTTAGAATAATACTCCAGGCCAGCACAATGGCACTGCATGCCAATCCTCTTCCTGTTAGCACTGGCATCCCATTTGGGTGCTGGTTCATGGTCCTGGCTGCTCTACTTTTCTTTTCTTTTTTTTTTTTTTTTGATTTATTTATGTTTATTACAAAGTCAGATATACAGACAGGAGGAGAGACAGAGAGGAAGATCTTCCATCCGATGATTCACTCCCCAAGTGACCACAAAGGCAGTATTTCATCGATCCGAAGCCAGGATCCAGGAACCTCTTCCTGGTCTCCCATATAGGTGCAGAGTCCCAAGGCTTTGGGCTGTCCTCGACTGCTTTCCCAGGTCACAAGCAGGGAGCTGGATTGGAAGTGGAGCTGCTGGGATTAGAACCGGCGCCCATATGGTATCCCAGCATGCTCAAGGCGAGGACTTTAGCCACTAGGCCACGCCGCCGGGCCCCCCCCCCTTTTTTTTTTAAAGAGATTTATTTATTTTTATTGGAAAGGCAGATCTAAGAAAGACAGAAAGAAAGATCTTTGACCTGCTGGTTCACTCCCCAAAGGGCTGCAATGGCCAGAAATGGCTGCTTCACTTTTCATCTAGCTCCGTGCTTATGGCCTGAGAAAGCAGCAGAGAATGGTCCAGGTCCTGAAGCCCCTACACCTATATGGGACACCAAGAAGAAGCTCCTGGTTTCTGGCTTCAGATCAGCTCAGCTCTGGCCATTGAAATCTTCTGTGGAGTAAACCAGCAGATGGAAGATCTCTCTCTCCTCTCTCTGTAAAATCTGCCTTTCAAATAAAAATAAATTAAAGGAAGAAGCAGAAGAATGCTCCATTGCAGGAACAGCCCTCTTGCCCAGCCTGCCTCACAAGGCTGCTGTCCCTGGGGTCCAGGACCCTCCCCAGTCCCCGAAACCACATCTTTCTGGATAAGGAAGGTTGGGTAGGTGCATTGTTCTCCTTTTCAATGTGAGGACACTGAGGCCTGGAGGGTTCCTAGGCTGCCTGGCAGAGCCGGATGGAGCTCAAACCCAGGGCTCTGGGAGTTTGTGTTAGGAGTCCTCTCTACCCCAGCTCTGTCCCCTGTCAAGTGATGTTAAAGAATCTTGATGCTGTAGGGAAGCAGGCTAAGGAATCCCCTACTCCCACCACTACACGCATGCTTAGCTTTGGGGTCAGTGGGGCAGGGTACCTGCAGCCCCCTGATCATACCCTGTCCCCCACCCCCACAACAGTGCACCTATGGCGATTCTCAGGCGGCTACCCAGCCCTCATGGACTGCATGAACAAGCTCAAGAACAACAAGGTAAGGGCAGCATCCCCTCACAAGTCTGTCTGGATCCTGGAGCATCTCCACCATCCCAGGAGACACATGGCTGCGTGGAGGATGCTGCCCAGCCGTTGTGCTCACACTGCCCTGCCGGTAGGAGTACCTGGAGTTCCGGAAGGAGCGGAGCCAGATGCTGCTGTCCAGGAGGAACCAACTGCTCTTGGAGTTCAGCTTCTGGAATGAGCCACTGCCCAGAGCAGGCCCCAACATCTATGAGCTGCGGACCTACAAACTCAAGGTGCCTTCCCTCTCAAGAGATGCTCCCACCTGCCCCGCTGCAGTGTTGAGTCACAGGTCCCCCGAGATGGAGCCCGGCACCTTAACTTAGGGCATCCGGCCTTTCTCCCCTTGGGACCCATGCACTGTGTGTACACACAAGTACACACAAGTACACACAAGCCTACCAGTTGTGAGGCTGAGTCCCTGAATGAGACCGCGTGGTCCTTCGAGTCTCCCGGCCCTGCCCCACTGTGACGCCAGGAATGCAAGGTGGGAGCTCATTCCCATCTTCCCTCTGCTTCTCTTCCAGCCAGGAACCATGATTGAGTGGGGGAACAACTGGTGAGTGACAGCACTGGGTTGGAGGCGGGGGACTCTGCTCACTTGCTCCTGCCAAGGCCATCCTTTTTCCCAGGGACCCCAGCCTCTCCTCTCTCTCCCTCATGGATCCAGAAGTGTCTACCCAGGGGGTGGGTCAAACACATTGGGCTGGCCTTCCCAAGGGCAGGCGAGATTGGCACCTCAGTGCCAATCTCACCTCTGTAGCAGGTTGATATTTCAGTTGATGATTTTATAATATTATAAACAAATGTCCCTTGGCAGAGAAAGGTTGCACACTCCTGCGCTCCAGGCTAGCGAGGCCTGTCCTGACAGAGCACCTGCTTGTGATCACACCCTCCCCCTACCACTACCCTGTTGAACCCTATTGACCTCTGAAGGCTGTGAGCCCCACCTGCACCCTTCCAAGGAATGGGCCTGTGTGCACCTGTGAGGGCCCAGCCTCTGCCACACACTCTGTCTCCCCTCTCCAGGGCTCGGGCCATCAAGTACCGGCAGGAGAACCAGGAGGCAGTGGGTGGCTTCTTCTCACAAATTGGAGAGCTCTACGTCGTACACCATCTGTGGGGTAGGACTGGGAACCTTTTAGGAGCAGGTCCAAGGGAGGCCTGGGATGCAGGGCAGGGTAGGGCGCAATGGAAAGAGGGCTCTGTGTTGGTGGGGGAAGGGACCAGATCTTCTGTGCTCAAGGAACGAGCCAGGGTCTTTCCCACAGCCTATAAAGACCTGCAGTCCCGTGAAGAGACTCGGAACGCCGCCTGGAGGAAGAGGGGCTGGGACCAGAATGTTTATTATACGGGTGAGTACTTCCTCTGTGAGTCGGGGCTGTGGGAGACGCCTAGGAGATCATCTGCTGGGAGGGTTTCTCTGAGGATGGAATCCTTCCCACTGAGGGGCTGAGGCCTCACTTGTTTACTTCCAGTGATGGGAAACTCACTTTTAAGACAATGAGTGAGTGGGTTGCCTTGCTGTGTAAGCACTGGTTAAGTGCCCCGTGGGATGCTAGCACAGCCCTAAGGCTCTGGGCATAGCTTTGTACCTTGCTATTTGCTCACCTGTACGAGGGCAATAGCCAGAGCGCCTCCCTCAGGCGGCTCCAGAGAAGGCTTCATTGACTATTCAAAAATATCTCAAGGTGTTGGCCATTTTGCTACAACAGCCCCTGTGGACCTTCTGTGGTCAGTAGGTGCTGGCTGAACCCTCACTGTGTTGTGTGGTTTTCAATATTTTTTGGAGGGTATGGGGGACCGAAATAAACTTATCTTTTTTTTTTTAAACTTATCTTTTAATTCAACTTTGATTTCCATACTTTTACCAGTATTCATGGATGCTACTGCTATTTTCTTGATATTGTACTTTAGATCCCTTTAGTTTGTTCTTAATCTAGTTTTTCTGTAGCCATAACTATGAAGTTTTTGTTGTTGTGGGTTTTTTTTTTAAAGATTTATTTATGTATTTATTATTTGAAAGGCAGATTTACAGACAGATCTTCCCTCTGTTGGTTCACTACTCACATGGCTGCAATGGCTAGAGCTGAGCCATTCCGACGCCAGGAGCCTCTTCCAGGTCTCCCACATGAGTGCAGGGACCCAAGTACTTGAACCATCCTCTGCTGCTTTCCCAAAACCATAAGCAGGGGGTTGGATCAGAAGTGGAGCAGTGAGAGCTAGAACCAGCAATATTATGATGGGATGCTGGTGTTTATAAGGCAAAAGATTAGCCAGTCAAACCGCTGTGCAGGTCATGTGATTTTTTTTTTTTTTTTGCTTTGCTATTTATTCTCAATCACCACCTGAATCCTGCCATATCCCATAACTTGGGAGCCCTGGTGCTCTCCATGGACCCTCCCAGAAGGGCCCCTTCCTCGTCAAAGGCCAGTCTCTGCATGCCTGTGGTAGTGACCGGCCACCCTTGGCGCCTCCCTGACCTCTGTCTCTCCTCGCTCTCTCTGCAGTCCCCTTGGTGCGGCACATGGAATCTCGAATCATGATCCCCTTGAAGATCTCGCCTCTCCAGTGACTGAAGCCTCTGATTCCTACCCCTTCTCCCTCAGGGCTGCCCAGGGCAGAGGGTCTCTTGGGCCTTCCAGCTTTTTTTTTTTTTTTCTCTTGGATCTGGGAGGACCCTGAGGGGGTTATATTAGTTGGGCTCATGGGGAGCTAAAGGTTGATGGGGTCCTGACGACTCCGGCACTGTCTACCCAGAGCCTTTCCCACCTAGCTCCTCCCCTGCCACCCCGAAGTAGTTTGAGATGTCTCTGAAGAACAGTTCATGTCATGGGTTCACACATTTCTTCCCACAATTCCTTTTCTCAAGGCTTGTGTCAGTCTCCAGTGGTTATCTCAGATGCCCTTGGTTTAGCTTAGTTTACACAACTATACCATACCCGCAGCACTTCCCTGGTCTCTACTTTGGGCCATGCACTTCCGGGACAATCTGAGCCAAATTCCTCCTGCTGTGGAAAAGGCTGAAACTGCCAAAACCCCTCAAATCAGAGCACCCAGAGGGGCAGGGGCAATGGCACAAGGGGACAGGAGGCAGTCCCAGAAGCCACAACTTCAGAATTCAGTCCTTGAGTGTGAACCGCAGGATGAGGAAGATAGAAAGTGAGAGAAGACCACTTGGGGAGGGGTTGCTAACTACTAGAAAGATGGGGAGAGGGACTCATCCATTTCTTCCCATGTCACGGCTTGAAAACTCAAATTTGCCATTCCCTGTCCTTTATCAGCCCTCCGTCCTCCCGGCAGGCACAAGTACAGGCCAGGGCCTCCTGTCCCCTCCACCTGTGCTCCTGTGCCCCACGTGACATTCTGTTAGCCCAGCCCTTATTTTTACATGGAGGTTAGTGAGTAGAGTTGGGTAAAGAATTCTGGGACCTTCCTCAGTGACCCCCCGCACCATACCTCATGATCCTCCCCTTTCCCCAAAATTACTGATTCTGCCTCCTTTCCAGAAAAACAAGTCGTGGGGGATGTTGATGGAACCAATTAAATATTTACTAGAAGTTCTAGTGTCCTTTTTCTTCCTCTGCAAGAAGCTTTAGCGGATGCCTCAGGCAGGCAGGGTAGCGCAGAGCTGGCCAGTGGGAGTTCTCTCTCACAGGGCATTGTGCTGCCAACCCAGGCTCAGGAAGACATCTCACCTCCCGTCAGCCCCAAGGGAAAGGGGTGGGAAGGTGTGGTCCACCAGACAACCAAGACTTTGACAACTTCTAGTTGTTGTTGTTGGTTTTTTTTTTTTTAAAGATGATTTTTATTGGAAAGGCAGATATACAGAGATGAGGACAGAGAGGAAGACCTTCTGATGGTTCACTCCCCAAGCGGCCACAATGGTCAGAGCTGAACCAATCCGAAGCCAGGAGCTTCTTCTGGGTCTCCCACAAGGGTGCAGGGTCCCAAGGCTTTGGGCCAAGCTCGACTGCTTTCCCAGGCCACAAGCAGGGAATTGGATGGGAAATGGGGCTGCCGGAATTAGAACTGGCGCTCATATGGGATCCTGGTACATTCAAGACTTTAACTGCTAGGCTATCGCCCCGGGCCCAGGTATTTCTAGTTTTAGATGAGGATTTAAACGCCAGAATTCCTGGGCTCTGGGTGCATAGTCCACACCATACTGCATCAGAGCTGTGACCCTGTCCAATCGGGCTTAAAATGGACAAACCAGTCAGGCACAAACAGGTTCGCCCCACCTGTTTCCACTGTTGTGGCAAGTTATGGGGATTATACTTGGTGGTTAAAAAGCCAAGTAACAGAATCAAATTTACTACAGTCCATGCTGAGGCGTTACCCAGCTCTCGTGTTAACCGCAGCAGGTGGCACAGTAAGTACCCCTAGTTTGTGAGGCACTGTTGCAGGCGGTTGGGAAGGTGAGGGAGATAAACGAGTCCTGTTCCTTGCTGTCTCAGCACCCCTGTATGAAACCAGGGTAAGGTTACGTGGCCACCACCTCACTCGTTCATCCCGCAAAAGCCACCTCCACGACAACCCTCCCACCCATCCCGCGCTCTGGGGTTTCACTTCCGGCCTCCGCGCCAGGCTTCCGGCAGGCCGCTCCTCCCCTCACTGCGCTTCTCTATGGTGCGTCGGTCGTGGCGTCATCGGGGCGCCGGAAGTGGCTCGTCGTGCGGGAGAGGTTGGCGAAGGTGTTCGGTGAGGAGTGGACTGCGTTGGTGACCTGGGCCGCGGGGCGGGGCGGGGCCGAGCGTTGATGGGCTGCGATGTGGGATGGCCGGACGCTGCCCTAGGGTTGGGGTCCCTCGCGGCTCCCCTCACCTTTCCGTGCTCTCGGCTGCGGGTACTTTGCCGGGCTCAATGGGGCTCTTTTTTCCGCGGTGTCGCCCTCGGGTTCTGCTTGGTAGCGGTTCGAACACGTTGGGCGTTCGGAGCCCATTGATGATGGTGCGGGTGCTGGTGCTAAGTGCTTCTTCTGCCAGGCACCCCACTGAGCATTTTTTTTTTTTGAGGGGTGGGGAGTTCTTTTTAAAAATTGTTTACTATGAAAGGCGAGTCGCGCGGTGGAGGGGGTCAGATCAACATTCTTCTACCTGTCACTTAACTTCCCAAATGCCCACAGCAGCTGGGGCTGGGCCTGCGCGGGTGGCAAGTACCAAATTATAGTTACATCTGCTTCCTTCCACGTTCCCATCAGCAGGACCTTTGTCGTAGCAGGGGACTGCAGGGAATGCACGTGTTGCTGGCTGTGCATATGTATATGTGTATGTGTGTATTTAAGATTTATTTATTTTTATTTGAAAGATAGTTGCACAGAGAGAGAGAGAGAGAGATCTTCCATCCGCTGGCTCACTGTTCCCAGACTCAGGCCAATCCAAAGCCAGGAGCCGAAAGCTTTCTCTAGGTCTCCCCCACACAGCTGCAGGAGCCTGAGGACTTGGGGCATCTTTCTCAGCTTTTCCATTAACAGGAAGCTGGATGGAAAGTAGAGCAACTGGCGCTCAAACTGGTGTGCATGTGGGCTGCTGGTGTCATGGGCCAGAGACATAGCCTGCTATGCCGTGGTGCCACCTGTTCAAGCTGCATTGTAACCACTGTACCACCTTGATTCTTTTTAACTTAAATTTACTTTGAGAAAGATGGTTTCTCTTGGCAATGAATGGAAAACCATTTTCCCTTTTCTTATGCACGTTGCAGTGAGGAGAATTACGATAATTAAAGTAGTGAGAACAGGTCCTGGTTGGCACGCTCTGTCCAGATTTCATTGAGTAAGGGTCTGAGGCTGTCCTTTAAAGGAATATTAAAAGTCCATAGATGTTAAGGACATATGAGGAGACAGATGCCCTCTTTGAAACAGACAGAAGTTTCATAGAAGAATTGATAAGGGATGAACTCTGTATAAGGCATTCTGTGTTGTTATTTAAACTTTATTAGAAGAGGAGAGAGCGAGCAGGAGAGAAGTTTTCTGTCCTCTGGTTTACTCCCTAAATGGCCACAAGAGCCAGGGCAGGTATCGGTCAAAACCAGGAGTCCAGAGCTCCATCTGAGTCTCCCACCTGGGTCATAGGGGTTCTGACCCTTGGGCTGTCCTCCACTTTGCAGGGACTCAAACCAGAGCTCCACTCTGCTCTGAGTTGCTGGCATTGCAGGCTGGCGGTTTTGTTTACTGTGCCACAGTTGGCAACCCCTAGGTGTTCAGCATTGTTTAAGGTCCTTCACGCACCTTTTAGAGCCCTGATCTCAGATGCTTTTTATTATTTTTTTCCGAGTTTTTTTTCCCTTTGCTTCAGCTCCCCAAAAATGTTGATTTGAAAGGTACAAAGATAGACGAAAGACAGAGAAACTTTTGCATCTACTGGTTCATTCTCCAAATGGCCCAAAACAGATGGATCTAACCAGAAACCAGAATCTCCATCTGGGTCTCCCATGTAAGCAGCAGGAACCTCGCTTGGTAGGGCCATCACCAGATGACGTCTTCCACCTTCCCAGTGGAACGCCTCACGTGGTCCTGCTGACGCCAGCTCCTGATGTAGGGACCGTTGTTCTCTCATCGATTCTGGGCAAAAGAGAAATGACTTATTCCAAGACTGAGTCATAATATTCCAACTCTGATGTTACCATGACAACACCGTTAGCTCCCTCAGTGACAGTGCCAGTCAACCCTGGACACTGATGATGACCAGAACAGGTGGAGACTCCTGAGTCTCAGGAAACGGAACTTGAGATCTTTATACATTTTAAGAGCAAATATTTATGACATTGCCAGCTGAGACGCTGGCACGACTAGAAGGCATGTGAGTCTAGTTGTCAACAGCCCCGATGGACCCAGGTTTTAGCCCACTAGCCCTGCAGCTCTAGCTGAGTCATTTCCCTTTTGGAGCTTCCCTTTTCTTGTCTGTAGGACACAGGTGGTAGTTCTCATCTGAGAAGTTGGGAAAATCAAATGACAGCTCCCCTGTAAAGTGCTGAGACCAAGGCCTCACCACACTGATGTCGGTCAGGAGTGGGACAGCTATGTGCCAGATGAAGGAGTTGCTAATGTCTGAAATACTTTGCCAGCTGCATGGAAAGAGAGCCGAGTTCACCCCCGAGTTGGGAAGAGGAGGTTAGAGAGAGAGAGAGAAGTCCTCTGAGAATATCCCAGATATCCCTAGAAGGACCTCGGGGAGCACTAGGTGAGCCTTTCTCAGGAGATGAGAAGGGAGAGATCAGTACTAGGTCATGTGGCTTGTTTGGGGGCCAGGTTGTTGTGTACAGTGGCAGCCAGGCGTCAAGGTTGGTAGGACAAAAGGTGTCCTAAGAAAGGGAGGGCAAGAAATGCCGCTGGGAAAGCGGGCTGGTGTCAAACCAGGAGTGTCTGTGCAGAGCCAATCAATGTGGACATTGATGCATTACGAAGAGCCAGAAAAGGTTTTGAAATAGGAGAGGCATTACGAGACAAAGAGAAGGAATTCCATCTGCTGGTACACTCCCTAAATAGACTCAATGGCCAGAGCTGAGCTGATCTGAAGTCAGGCGACATGACTTTTTTCTAAGTCTCCCACATGGTGCAGCCCCAAGGCTTTGGGCCATCCTCCTCCTGTTTCCCTCACCATCAGCAGGGAGCTAGATCAAAAGCAGAGCAATCAGGACTTGAACTGGTGCCTTAAGGGATGCTGGCGCTTGTAAGCAGAGGATTATCGTGCAGCACCACTGTGCTGGCCCCTGGTGATTGGTTTTTATTAAAAGAAAAATGTAGACAGCATTGCTGGGCAGAGCAGTCACCTTTGTCTTGGGGAGGAAAGCAGAGGGCCGTGGTTAGGGTGTTGAGATGCATTGTGCTGGGTGAACGGCTGATTGCAGGATGCTTCTGCGGCAGTTGTGAGCAGGAGCGCATGGCAATGGAGAAGGGAGAGGTTGGAGGTGATGCTAAGGTCAGGGGGAAGTGGAGCAGACGGATGCCCTTTGGACAGGCTCAAGGGTGACTTCAGAGAATTAAGGTGATCCCTTAGAGCCTGCTTGAGTTAGGCTTGTCTGTCAGGGGCCACAGCATTGGGTTTGATCCCAGGATTCTGACTCCAGGAAAAAAAGAAATAATGCAAAAATGTTCTCCTCTCAGCAGCTTTCTGCAATCTTCTCCTGACCTCGAGGAACAGCCATGTCATCAGAATCAAGTAAAAAGCGGAAGCCCAAAGTCATCCGGAGTGAGGGTGCCCCCACCGAAGGAAAGCGGAACCGATCCGACACCGAGCAGGTAAGGCCAGCCAGGCTTTCTGTGGTGCTAAGAAGTGACAGCCTATGGTGAACACTTCACCTGAGGGCATGTCCATGCAACAACATTCTGGTGCCTTCCACTTGCCCAGTGACAGAAGTTGCCATGGCCTCACAGAACCTGAACCAGCAACCTGAGAACCAGGCAGCTTCTGTTCGATACTGTGAGGGGCTGCACAGTCAGTGCTGTTGGTCAGAGGAAAGTAGGCCCTCTACAGCATGGCCTGGCGCTGCCTGCGTATTGCATGCCTGGGGAAGCTGTGTGCCACGGGGAGCCTTTCCTATGACTGCCAGGGCA